CTGATGAAACTAGCGCATAATACGCAGCTCACTAAACCACTAAATACAAGCTTGGTGTAATGATGTCATTGTTAGTCAGTCAGTTAGTCATTGTTAGCCAGTCAATTAGTTAGTCATTGTTAGTGTAGTAGCAATAGACACACTGAGAGTAAAGGACCCTTCGTTTCATTTCTATATTGGTTTATATTTTATAATATCAAGCCAAACGTTTAGATTTAATACGCCCTTCATGTTTACAAAGTACAATAATAGTAATATTTCTAAATTATTTCTTCTTCAAATATCATTTTGAAACAAAATATTTCTAACAAGTTTTCTAAAATGTTTGAATTTATGTATTTTATACTTTTTGTTAATAATAATGAATACTCGCTAGTACCAACAGACGTCTTCAACTTTCCTTATGAAAAGTCTAGCAGTATTATTAATAATTTAAAAAAAAAAATTATTCAAGGGGAATTACTAGTTATCAAAATCATGTAATTGCTAAGAGTGTCACATTTAAAGCAGTTCAAGAGGAGTTAACACAACCATCTTTCATAATATTTTCAAGCGCATATATATTTTATACCACATATATATTTATAGCACATATATATACAAGTTTCCCAATGGTACGCGAGAGATTTTTTGAAAGCATTTTGAAAGCACGCGCTTTCAAAATGGTTTGTCACCCTTAGCTAATAGACCTCAATAAGCCTAACAGAACCCCCCCCCCCACACACACAAAAAAAAAATTATGTATTTTGCTGAAGTATTAAATTCAACAGTGAAGGTCTCTTCACATGCAACAATTAATAATGATTGCTTTTTAGTATTTAGGACTGAGAGAAGCAAGATTTGGTGAACTGTGCTAATTCTAAATCATAGTTGTTAACTAACAGTTTGGCGAAATTGGCGATTATTCAATTTGGCAAAGTCTATGGTACGTTTTTGTATAAATCGTGAGCGTGCAGTGACATGAGCAACTGTGTAATATTAACAGTGACATTAGTTTTGCAAAGATTCAGCCACATTAAACTCAGATAGACAGTGGGCTAGCTAAATAAATCTACGGTATTCGCGACGACGATTTCACTGTTGGGAGTGTAAGGAATTGACTGTTTAGTTATGCTCTTAGCTGATTGAAGAACAACTGGTGATGATTGTGTTTGACACTGGTGATTGGAATCAGGTGTACGTTTGAAGGGAAGTTTGGAGATAGGATTGGAATATTCCAACTCTCCAAGAGACGAATTCTCACTATTTACACAATGAGAAAAGCGAACTGAAACGACATATTCATTGAGTAAAGGTGGGACATGAATACAGTTATTCATGAGCCTCGTTCATGCTAACAAGCACTTAATTTAACAATAACGAGTTAAAACAACGCGATACAGAGCTCAACAGAGCAGACATGCCAAGAACCAAGTGGACCTGAATTAAGACACTAGAAGGACATGTATACGAATGAATACAAGTGTATGTGTGTGTATACATATACATAAAGACTTGGGAGAGGGGATTAAGAATCACACTGAGCCAATCTCCTGATGCAGATCTCATCCCAGAAGCCTTAAACTGCATACACAAGATTGAGGACAGTCACGAGTGCCTTTTTTAACTTAAAAGGGCAACCACCTCTGGTGCAAGTGTAGGGACCCATACCCTCGGAGAAGAGAATAAAGAGTACTCGGAGAAGACCTTGTGGATCATCTATAATATGACAAATTCTGAAGTATGATGTGGTCTAAAAACACAAAATGAAAATTGGAGAATGCTGGTATGCTATCCTAAAAGTTTATGTAAGTAATGTCATATGTCAAACTTTTATTATAGTATAAGTTATATGCTATCGTAAAAGTTCCAGGTACGTGAGATATAATGTGTCATTATAAAAGTTCCAGATATTTGGGGTATGACTTACAAGGAAAGACACTGGCACTTAGCCTCACGTTACTGAAAGAGAAGATAAACGCAGCAGACAGAGTCACGACATACAAAGTACTCGGCGGAATTTGCCACGAAGCCAAAGACAGGTTCTTTGACATGAAAGGACACACAGGGAAGACAAGGATACAATCTCTGCTATGGGACACATACGAAAGGACACAGGTGGATATTATGTAGCATCAAAATACTACAGGGATAGTAGAAAGAACTTTATGATCAGAATAGTAAAGAAATGGAATGGTTTAGGTAGTAAAAAATACAAGACTCTATATTTGAATTCCAATGTGGACAAGACAAAGGCCAAGAGAAGATCAATGCCATAAAAGAGCTAGGTGAACAAATCCACAAGGGCCGTGATGAGGATTCGAACCTACGTTCACGACGATCTAATTGAACCTTTACATAGCGATGCAACCGAAGATATTCCTGGCATGCCAATGTTAACATGGGCCATGAACTAGAGTTGAACTAGAGTGATGATCTAGAACAGGTGAAGCAAGAGTCACCTCACCTCACACACACACACACACACACACACACACACACACACACACACACACACACACACACACACACACACACACACACACACACATACACACACACACATACACACACACACACACACACACACACACACACACACACACACACACACACACACACACACACACACACACACACACACACACACACACACACACACACACACACACAGGTGGGGCCTGGTAGCCTGGTGGATAGCGCGCAGGCCTCGTAATTCTGTGGCGCGGGTTCGATTCCCGCACGAGGCAGAAACAAATGGGCAAAGTTTCTTTCACCCTGAATGCCCCTGTTACCTAGCAGTAAATAGGTACCTGGGAGTTAGTCAGCTGTCACGGGTTCCTTCCTGGGGTGTGTGTGTGTGTGTGTGTGGTGTGGAAAAAAAATTAGTTAGTAAACAGTTGATTGACAGTTGAGAGGCGGGCCGAAAGAGCAAAGCTCAACCCCCTCAAAGACAACTAGGTGAATACACACACACACACACACACACACACACACACACACACACACACACACACACACACACACACACACACACACACACACAGCACTTGAGAGAGGACCAGGCCGGCAAGAGGGCCGGAAGTTTGAGACCGTCCACCTCACCCTCTCAGGAAGTGTGGGAGTGGCCATCGTCGGGTGAGTGTCATCCGGAATGTCCTTTGTCGCCCCCCCCCCCCCCCCCCCCCCGCCCAGGACAGTGAGAGGTGAGAGGAGGGAAGAGGTGGTGAGAGAGGGGGGGCATTGGAGAGCCTGAGAAGCGGATTAGGTAGAGCAGGAGTGGAGAAAAAAGGGGGGTTAGGGGGGGATTATGGGGGAGGGTGAGTAAGTTAGACCTGGAGGATGAGAAAGAGGTGAAGGGTGGGTGTTGGGTGTGGTGAAATGGGGGTATGGGAGAGCTAGGAGATGAGGAGCAGCTGATTGGGATGATTGGGAGGTGGGGGCTCAGTTAAGCTTGTATGGGGGGCCCAGTTAAGCTTGTATGGGGGGCCCAGTTAAGCTGTATGGGGGCCAGTGATGCTGGATTATATACTTGTCTTCCCATCCAGCCTGTTGGGATCATTTTGAATCGCCCATGAATTCTTAGAATTGACGAATGTGATGTTTTGTATTGACTCATGAATGAGATGGTTAGTCAGTCAGTGAGTTTATCAATTAGGGAGAGTTAATGAGTGAATTAGTACGTGATTGCGGGCTTCACTATAAATGATGAGTGCGTGGACGGGACCTTAGTAACTACTATACATGCTAGTGGCTTTATAAGAACGTAAGAACTTTTGTATATATAAATTAATAAAATCTTTCTTCGGTGACTGCCCGGTAAGGTGTTAGCTAGGTGGGCTTCGTGATGTTTCTTGCTTCTTTCCAGATTAGTATGGGAATTTGTGGTCTGGTGGCTAAGACGGGGTAGTGGACTACACGTGTGTGTGTGTATGTGTGTGTGTGTGTGTGTGTGTGTGTGTGTGTGTGTGTGTGTGTGTGTGTGTGTGTGTGTGTGTGTGTGTGTGTGTGTGAGTTCGAACCCCTCTGGTTACTATGGGCTGGAAGCCGCCATGTTAAGATGTTGCAAAGCGCAGTAGATTACCAGTAGATTGCCATGCTTGTATGTTCCTAAGGGCTGAATGTCTACCGTGCATATCTACCTGCATTAATTAATAAATTCCCCTACAGGGAAATGTGTCTATAACCAATATATATATATAATGCCTCTATGTACATTTTAGCTCGTTTATTATAATTGATGTAATGTAGTGGAGAGTAATAATGTTTCTGCTGGCACTATTGGGGCGGGTTTACGACGAATTCTTGTCTGTAAATATCTGTGTAAAGCGTTATATTATCCTCTATGTTATAGCGAGGCGCAACGAGGAGTTTCGCTAAACTACTTTTGAGGCACGAGTTCGATTCCTCAATGACCCAGTTGAATATATATATATATATATATATATATATATATATATATATATATATATATATATATATATATATATATATATATATATATATATATATATATATATATATATATATATATATATATATATATCAGTATATTAGTTTTTAGAGAGATTATCACTATATATTTTTTCCTTCGTTACAAGTTTGTTGTATTTACACTCCACGTGTTGTTTACACTACACGTGGAGTGTAAATAAATTAGTTAAATTTGAGAGATCTACTCGTGTCAACATTACACATGTGTGTGACACATCATTACACATCTGGGGGATACGGTCGTAACCCCCCCCCCCCCTTCCCTCTTTACCCCCCCCCCTTCCTACACTCATTCCCTTTCCTACAACGAGGAGGAAATCCCTCCCTTTCCCTTTGCCCCCCCCCCCCCACACACACCTTTCTTCCTTATGATCTTTCTATTCCATCATTCTCCATCATACTCAAAGGTATCATACTCAATAAGATATCAGGTATCATATCTCTATCATACTCAAAGGTTATTTTTAACTTTATCTGCTGATTGCTTCGCAAATTTGGTTACTAAAATGTGTTTCTCGTCCCTTCAGGAACTCGACGACGGCGCTGACGAAGGGGACGGTGGTGGGCGGCGGCGCAGCCTCCAGCACCAGCGGCGGGGCGTCGGCCGGAGCCGCAGGGGCGGGCGCCGGTGCGGCAGCGGCCGGAACCGCCGGCGCCGCGGGCAAGGACGACCTCACAGACGCCAAGGACTCTGCAGGACGACCTTTAGTGCCCGTCAACAAAAACCTGGGCAATGTTAAGGCTGAGCATGGGGCCCATCCTTCGGTGAGTACTCCCCAGGGGTGTGTATCCCGCCGCTCGCTATAGTTCCAGGGGCTGTAGGTGTGGGGGCCGGATAGCAGACTGCCGGATGAGATCAGGGGGAAGTCAAGCCCAGGTGGCCTCATTGTATGCACTCAAGTTGAATTATCAATTCCCCAAAGTAGGTGTTAAAAGCCCCACTCTCCCTGGCCAGCACTTCGGGGGTAAATTTGGCCCAACTTTTGTTCCAAAGGAGGAGGCTTCACCTTTTTTGGGGGGGCCAAATTAGGGAATAACATAAAAGCTTCAGTGCAGGCAAACTAGAGGTTATGTGTGGATATTTTTTTTATCAGGAACTTAGCGTGTAAGTCAGCCATGATGTCGGTAAGATTACAGACACATTATTTTTCTGTAGTCCAAAATAATTCACATGTTTTCCTTGCCAAGGATCCGGGAGGTAATTATGAGTTGAGTGAAGATTGAAGTCAATTTATGGCTAAAATAGGCAGAGCGTTGACCAGACCACACACTAGAAGGTGAAGGGACGACGACGTTTCGATCCGTCCTGGATCATTCCTTTTCAATCGACTTGAGAATGGTCCAGGACGGACCGAAACGTCGTCGTCCCTTCACCTTCTAGTGTGTGGTCTGGTCAACTTACTTTAGCCACGTTATTGTGACTCATCGCCTGCATGGGCAGAGCGTAATGTAAGGTCTATATCTCTCTCTCAAACAGCTGTGTGTAATGTGTTTAAAACATGTTGCAATGTGTTGCAAGGTGTTGCAAGGTGTTTGGCTTTAAAGCAGGTAATTGCAGCTGAAGAAATGGTGTGTATTTTTGCAACTACGAAGAAGTTTCTTTTTTTCCTTTAAGATGGTTTGTAACAGCTTCTTGTCATGAGAGCTTACGTGTGCTTGTAATATCTTCAAACTGATTCTAAATAGGTCGTGCATGAACGTGTGCTTGTGTATAGTAGTAGTCATCCATCAGTCTCAGGAGACTATGGAGTTGGGCTCTGGTTGTCGGTCTGGAGTGGCCTCTCCAGGGCACAAAGCCTGGGTAGGTTGATATTGGGGGAGAAGAAGATTCGTCAACATAATTAAGGTACCTTGGTAACCCCGAACTGACTCCTCCCCATAAGTGCGAAACTCTAATGGCGTAGCCTTAGCATTTTACCCCAAAAAAATATTTTGGCAACAGTTTGTATTACCTAGAGATGTGGACGTGAACAATTATATACTGCGTCAGCAAAATTATTCGCACACACAACGTCACTATGTGAATTGGTGTTCTATGGTGTTTTAGATTCAGCTACTGGGAACAAACAGTTCCAAGTAGCACGGGCTATGGTGAGCCCGTAGTGGACTTACCTGGCACAGGAGCGGGGCAAGTAGCACGGGCTATGGTGAGCCCCGTAGTGGACTTACCTGGCACAGGAGCGGGGCAAGTAGCACGGGCTATGGTGAGCCCGTAGTGGACTTACCTGGCACAGGAGCGGGGCAAGTAGCACGGGCTATGGTGAGCCCGTAGTGGACTTACCTGGCACAGGAGCGGGGCAAGTAGCACGGGCTATGGTGAGCCCGTAGTGGACTTACCTGGCACAGGAGCGGGGCAAGTAGCACGGGCTATGGTGAGCCCGTAGTGGACTTACCTGGCACAGGAGCGGGGCAAGTAGCACGGGCTATGGTGAGCCCGTAGTGGACTTACCTGGCACAGGAGCGGGGCAAGTAGCACGGGCTATGGTGAGCCCGTAGTGGACTTACCTGGCACAGGAGCGGGGCAAGTAGCACGGGCTATGGTGAGCCCGTAGTGGACTTACCTGGCACAGGAGCGGGGCAAGTAGCACGGGCTATGGTGAGCCCGTAGTGGACTTACCTGGCACAGGAGCGGGGCAAGTAGCACGGGCTATGGTGAGCCCGTAGTGGACTTAAGTGAGCCCGTAATGGATTTAAGTGATGGAGTGCGAAATGATATATGAATATTGAAACTTTTGTATAACGAATTTTCAAGAAATGTGTGAATACTTCATTCAAAATTAGCTACTATCGGAAATTTTAGCCACGTATCCCCTGGATGGGAAAGGGGGAGTGGGGGAAAGGGGAGAGGGAGTGTGGGGGAAGAGGAGGGGGAGTGTGGGGGAAGGGGAAAGTGGGGAGGAAGGGATGTGCATGATAAGTAAATCAAATTAAGAAACTATCTCACCGCATCTGTAACTTTTGCTTAACTTTAAGACGGTACCTGTGACCGTTCTCAATCCCACTGTTGATATAATCATTTATTAAACTATGTAACTATCTTATGAAGACAGTCACGTGCCTAATTAAATGAATTCTGGGGTTCAGCTCCTGGGCCCGTTGTGCCCCTCTGTAATCCTTTCTCCCTGATGTTTATATTATTTCTCGTCATAGCACTACGATAGCTTAGTTCTGCCAAGCGCTCTTCAGTGGAGGCAGAGAAAATGGGTTAAATATATTCCCGTTTTCTCTCTTGGCAAGTAAACAATTTTCTTCTACGGACGTTCTGGAGTAACTACTCCAGTTTGTATTTTGCTCTCAGATTGTCGCACACGTTAAATTGTAAATAATTATCTTACTTTTAGCGGTTTAGTTCAACCAGTCTCAATGTAGGCTATAATATGCTACAATGTCATGCTCATTGACTTTTAATTTAGGATTTAGTTTTAGATTTTAATTAGTTTTATTAGAATTAGTTTTATGGCCTAAATATTGGTTCCGGGAGAATCTTTTATATTCTGAAGTATTTTGTCTAATCCATATCTCTCTCTCTTTTATTCCTTTTCCCAGGTCCGTTGTTCTGTGTTTTCTTTGCGCAATTTGATATTATTTATATTTTCGATTTTTTTTTTATTTAAATTGTATGTTGTACTGGTTTTTCATTCAAAATGTTAGATTTTATTGTTTTTTAATATATTCCCCAGTTCTCTCTTGCTTGCTCTCTCACCTCTGGCTCTCTCGCTCGCTCTCGTTCTCTGGCTCTCTCGCTCGCTCTCTCGTTCTCTAGCTCGCTCTCTCGCTTTCTAGCTCTCTCACTCTCACTCTCACACTCTTTCACTCGCTCTCTCGCTTTCTAGCTCTCTCACTCTCACTCTCACACTCTTTCACTCGCTCTCTCGCTCTCTGGCTCACTCTCTCGCTTTCTGGCTCGCTCTCTCGCTCGCTCTCTAGCTCTCTCATTCTCACTCTCTCACTCTCACACTCTTACTCTCACTCTCACTCTCTCTCTCTTTCACTCTCACTATCTCACTCGCACTCTCTCACTCGCACTCTCTCTCTCTCTCTCTCTCTCTCTCTCTCTCTCTCTCTCTCTCTCTCTCTCTCTCTCTCTCTCTCTCTCTCTCTCTCTCTCTCTCTCTCTCTCTCTCTCTCTCTCTCTCTCTCTCTCTCTCTCTCTCTCTCTCTCTCTCTCTCTCTCTCTCTCTCTCTCTCTCTCCTTCCCCCCCTTAAGCCCGTCCCTCTCTCCCCACTTCTGCACTAAAAATGTGTCGAGAGAACAGGTTACCACCAAGTGCCAGCTGCCTGAGAGCCAGCCAGCCCCTGTGTGACCTGCCAAGAACACACTATACTCACCCTTACACGGATCATTCCACGGTCACTCCCACGGTGGTCGGGGCGTCGATCTCTCGCCCGCCTCCAACTGTTTCCTGCTCCTTCTTCAAGGTTTCTCCGTCCCCTGTCTTCTGTCACCTGTCTTCAGTGCCCTGTCTTCTGTGTCCCCTGTCTTCAGTGCCCTGTCTTCTGTGTCCCCTGTCTTCTGTCACCTGTCTTCAGTGCCCTGTCTTCTGTGTCCCCTGTCTTCTGTCACCTGTCTTCAGTGCCCTGTCTTCTGTGTCCCCTGTCTTCCGTCCTCTGTCTTCTGTCCTTTGTCTTCCGTCACCTGTCTCCCGTCCCCTGTCCTCTGTCTTCCGTCACCTGTCTTCCGTCCCCCTGTCTTCCGTCCCCTGTCTTCCGCTCCCTGCTTAACAGCTCTATTTTCATTGGAATTGAAGAACAGATTGAACAGATAAACTATAAGGTCTGCTATGATTGCTGTCATGTGCTTCCAAGTTGTCTGTTCCTCTCTCACTTGGACTCAACGGTAGAGAGGGTATCGTTTCTTACAGGTCGGGGTTCAATCCCAGAGCGTCCAAGTGGTTGGTCATCGTTCCTTTCCTCCGTCGTGAACCAAATCATTTTTGTTTTCATTTTCCTCCTAAGTGCTGTTTAGTCGAGTAATAGTTTCGTGCGTTCACTTGATAATTACTTTATCTCATTGTCAGTCTGTTGTACGGCGCTGGTCTATAAATGCCAGGATATACATTGGGAGTTGCACGGCAACATTGCTAGATACATAAGGTGCATTGGGAAGTTTCACCTGAAACTCTGATGGAACTTCTCTTGCTGTCAGACTAAGGGGCCTTAGCTCCGACCACTGTCCTCGCTACCTGCATCACCACCACCACCACCACCAGTACAAGCACCTACAGAGCACTACCACCACCACCACCACCACCACCAGTACAAGCACCTACAGAGCACTACCACCACCACCACCACCAGGACAGACACCACCACCACCACAACTACCACCAATACAAGCACCATAACCACCACCACCACCAGGACAGACACCACCACCACCACCACCACCACCACCACAGGCACCACCACCACCACAAGCACCTACAAGAGCACCACCACCACTTAAAGGGACACTGCTCACCTACAGGGAACATTTACAACCTGTTACACAGGTGGGTACGGAAGTGGACGACCTCTGGCTCCTGGTGGTAGGCCGACGGCTCGCCCTTCCCACCACCTCACCTTAAGCCTCACACAACTCATTTAACGTGGAACACGACCTAACCTAACCTAACCTAATCAAACCTAACCTAACCTAACCTAACCTAACCTAACCTAACCTAACCTAACCTAACCTAACCTTCCCACCACCTCACCTTAAGCCTTACACAACTCATTTAAGGTGGAACACGACCTAACTTAACCTAACCTAACCTAACCAATCTGTTTACAACCAAGTCCCTAATAACTCCTTGGCTGAAACCCAAGCGAACTTGTCCCATTAATCCGTGTTTACTGTCTGAGGCCTTCCTAATTAACGCTCAGAGCCTTTAGTGATGTTCTGAAATTGCCTTAAACGCAATCCGTTCTCACACTATGTCCATTCCATCCCGCGGCCAACCCCAAAGACGCATTCATCAATTTTAACTTCATTCTCCATTCAAAATATAAATTTTCTCAATTTTAAGTTAACGTTATTGCATATTTACACATAGAGACGTTGGTTAGGTGATGAGGTCTTGTTGATTTATTGATTTATTGATGAAGATTAAGCCACCCAAGAGGTGGCACGGGCATGAATAGCCCGTAAACAGGTCCTGTTGTTGTTGTTGTTTAAGATTCGCTACTTGGAACAAAAAGTTCCAAGCAGCACGGGCTATGGTGAGCCCGTAGTGGACTTACCTGGCACAGGAGCGGGGCAAGTAGCACGGGCTATGGTGAGCCCGTAGTGGACTTACCTGGCACAGGAGCGGGGCAAGTAGCACGGGCTATGGTGAGCCCGTAGTGGACTTACCTGGCACAGGAGCGGGGCAAGTAGCACGGGCTATGGTGAGCCCGTAGTGGACTTACCTGGCACAGGAGCGGGGCAAGTAGCACGGGCTATGGTGAGCCCGTAGTGGACTTACCTGGCACAGGAGCGGGGCAAGTAGCACGGGCTATGGTGAGCCCGTAGTGGACTTACCTGGCACAGGAGCGGGGCAAGTAGCACGGGCTATGGTGAGCCCGTAGTGGACTTACCTGGCACAGGAGCGGGGCAAGTAGCACGGGCTATGGTGAGCCCGTAGTGGACTTACCTGGCACAGGAGCGGGGCAAGTAGCACGGGCTATGGTGAGCCCGTAGTGGACTTACCTGGCACAGGAGCGGGGCAAGTAGCACGGGCTATGGTGAGCCCGTAGTGGACTTACCTGGTGGTCCTGTTGGTAATTATTGGTATTTGTAGAACGCGGGTGAGACGTTTACAGCGTTGTGGTTCGAACAGAGGTCGACAGCGAGGCACTGGTAGAGAAATGTTCGAATATTCGAACGTTCGACATCAGTTGTTAGTCTCGTATAAAAGGGTTTTTCATTTCCTAAACAAGGACATTCGAGGCTATATGGAAGGAACATTTGGCCCTCGTTGAAAAAGACGGACCGATTGACATTGGTACAATTCGAACATTGTAAGTGTGGTACAATTCGAGCATTGGAAGTGTGGTACAATTCGAACATTGGAAGTGTGGTACAATTCGAACATTGGAAGTGTGGTACAATTCGAACATTGGAAGTGTGGTACAATTCGAACATTGGAAGTGTGGTACAATTCGAACATTGGAAGTGTGGTACAATTCGAACATTGGAAGTGAGTGAAGCGTTGGTGAAGACAATGTCAACCCACTCAATTGCCAGTCGAGTGTGTTAATTCATTTATAATCTGGGGATTTGACAGCTGGAATTATTCATCTAGTCTGTGGGAGTGACGGGTGCGTTGTCTGTGGGAGTGACGGGTACCGCTGTCTGTGGAAGTGACGGGTACCGCTGTCTGTGGAAGTGACGGGTGCGTTGTCTGTGGGAGTGACGGGTACCGCTGTCTGTGGAAGTGACGGGTACCGCTGTCTGTGGAAGTGACGGGTACCGCTGTCTGTGGGAGTGACGGGTACCGCTGTCTGTGGGAGTGACGGGTACCGCTGTCTGTGGGAGTGACGGATACCGCTGTCTGTGGGAGTGACGGGGTCGTTGTCTGTGGGAGTGACGGAGGCGTTGTCTGTGGGAGTGACTGGTACCGCTGTCTGTGGCAGTGACGGATACCGCTGTCTGTGGCAGTGACTGGTATCGCTGTCTGTGGGAGTATGGCACTCCACTCGCGACAGCTGTCGGTCACACCTGTCGGTCACACCTGTCTCGGTCAGTCAGGCGCTAACACGTACCAGCTGTCCGAAGCAAAATATGACACTCATAACTAATTTAGTTGAAGCCTCGCTTGTATCCGGCTCACTAGACACGGAGGAGCGTGGCGTTGCCAGAGACACGGAGGAGCGTGGCGTTGCCAGAGACACGGAGGAGCGTGGCGTTGCCAGAGACACGGAGGAGCGTGGCGTTGCCAGAGACACGGAGGAGCGTGGCGTTGCCAGAGACACGGAGGAGCGTGGCGTTGCCAGAGACACGGAGGAGCGTGGCGTTGCCAGAGACACGGAGGAGCGTGGCGTTGCTAGAGACACGGAGGAGCGTGGCGTTGCCAGAGACACGGAGAATAATGATATTGGAGGCTCGTGGTGTAGAAGAACTCCCAGAATCCCATGCAGGTACAATCCAGGCATAGACCTAGGAATGTTAATCTCTGTTGTTTAAATCCACACTAACATAGGGAGGATTAAGATCAATGGGAGAGGTTCAGAGGGTCGAATCGAACTCTTCTTTGTCCTGATAACCACACCACGGATCACTATGTTATCATCTTTGCCCAGATGTTATCTTTAACTGTGGTTGACACGCATGTTAGATCTAAATGGTGTTTATTGTGGTGGTTCGTAATGTTTGCTGGTGTGTACGGGGGCTTTGACTTCTTCGGTGAGCTGTTGTTTATGGGACTTCTTTGAACTAGTATTGTTTGCTGGTCTTGAATTCTCTGAACTGGGTTGTTTGCGGGGTCATCTCTTAACCAGTATAGGTGTCTTGTTACAAAATTGATGTCTCCTTCCATGATGCTACTGTGTGGTGGAGGGGGGGATAGGTAGTGTGGTTGAGGGTGGCTAGGTAGTGTGGTTGAGGGTGGCTAGGTAGTGTGGTTGAGGGTGGCTAGGTAGTGTGGTTGAGGGTGGCTAGGTAGTGTGGTTGAGGGTGGCTAGGTAGTGTGGTGGAGGGGGGGATAGGTAGTGTGGTTGAGGGTGGCTAGGTAGTGTGGTTGAGGGTGGCTAGGTAGTGTGGTGGAGGGGGGGATAGGTAGTGTGGTTGAGGGTGGCTAGGTAGTGTGGTTGAGGGTGGCTAGTTAGTGTGGTTGAGGGTGGCTAGGTAGTGTGGTGGAGGGGGGGGGATAGGTAGTGTGGTTGAGGGTGGCTAGGTAGTGTGGTGGAGGGGGGGATAGGTAGTGTGGTTGAGGGTGGCTAGGTAGTGTGGTTGAGGGTGGCTAGGTAGTGTGGTTGAGGGTGGCTAGGTAGTGTGGTTGAGGGTGGCTAGGTAGTGTGGTTGAGGGTGGCTAGGTAGTGTGGTGGAGGGGGGGATAGGTAGTGTGGTTGAGGGTGGCTAGGTAGTGTGGTTGAGGGTGACTAGGTAGTGTGGTGGAGGGGGGATAGGTAGTGTGGTTGAGGGTGGCTAGGTAGTGTGGTTGAGGGTGACTAGGTAGTGTGGTGGAGGGGGGGATAGGTAGTGTGGTTGAGGGTGGCTAGGTAGTGTGGTTGAGGGTGGCTAGGTAGTGTGGTGGAGGGGGGGATAGGTAGTGTGGTGGAGGGGGGGATAGGTAGTGTGGTTGAGGGTGGCTAGGTAGTGTGGTTGAGGGTGGCTAGGTAGTGTGGTTGAGGGTGGCTAGGTAGTGTGGTTGAGGGTGGCTAGGTAGTGTGGTTGAAGGTGGCTAGGTAGTGTGGTTGAGGGTGGCTAGGTAGTGTGGTGAAGGGAAAAGATTGTGAGGTGCTGGTAACTTAAATTCAATTAGTAATTTAAGAGGCATGAGTGGTATATTCGTGAGCTGTGGACGCCAGGACGGGCTATTGCAAGGAAAGAAACGCGGACAGAAGGGATAGAATATAGAAGTGGTGGAGTGGACTGGGTGGGACTTAGAGGGATGGGGGAGGGAGGGTATGTACACACACACACACACCAGCATTACCACACCTGGCCAGTAGCTCTGACTGCCACACCTCACACACTTCCCAACGCACTCAGCAAACGCCAAAATTATTCATTTATACACGATGAAAGTATATCAGAAAGTATATATAGTGACATTATGAAGAAAAGTGCCGTGATTTTGGTGTGATAATAGAACGATATGAGAAATTATCTGTTTGTGACACGTGTTGGTAGTCAAGATGAGTTTAGGGAACGTTGTAATGAGTTGTGTTTGTTGTGGTAAGGTAAGTCAGTCCCTCCCCCCAGGGCCTGGATTCAATAAGTACACGCAGCCACTTGTGAAACCTTTACATCTTTCAACAATGGTTTACACTACACACAGAAATCACAATAGTGTGATATTTCAAATGAACAAATCCATAAGGGCTGTGATGAGGGTTCGAACCTACACCCTGGATGTTCCCAGCTGTGCCTTAGTCAAAATTCGAACCCAGATCACAGTTTTTGGGGATTTGTTCTTAACAATGGTCTGTTCTGAACTGTCTGTTACCTATAATCTGTCTGTTAAGAACTGTCTGTTACCTATAATCTGTCTGTTAAGAACTGTCTGTTACCTATAATCTGTCTGTTAAGAACTGTCTGTTACCTATAATCTGTCTGTTAAGAACTATCTGTTACCTATAATCTGTCTGTTAAGAACTGTCTGTTTACCTATAATCTGTCTGTTAAGAACTGTCTGTTACCTATAATCTGTCTGTTAACAACTGTCTGATACCTATAATCTGTCTGTTAAGAACTGTCTGTTACCTATAATCTGTCTGTTAAGAACTGTCTGTTTACCTATAATCTGTCTGTTAAGAACTGTCTGTTACCTATAATCTGTCTGTTAACAACTGTCTGTTACCTATAATCTGTCTGTTAAGAACTGTCTGTTTACCTATAATCTGTCTGTTAAGAACTGTCTGTTACCTATAATCTGTCTGTTAACAACTGTCTGTTACCTATAATCAACAGTTTGTGAGCTCCGAAGCACCATGAGGTTGTTTGGAACAAACAATCATGGGTTGTGAGGTTTCGAAGCGCATAAACAAGGGTAAAGATGTAAAGGTTTCGCAAAAGAATTCGTAAATTCTTGAGCAATTCTGATAACAATATACCTTGTTCACCTACTAGTCTTGTTTATCTATCGCTGGTAATCAATAGATCTCCAAGATCTATCAATAGATCTCCGAGATCTATCAATAGATCTCCGAGATCTATCAATAGATCTCCAAGATCTATCAATAGATCTCCGAGATCTATCAATAGATCTCCGAGATCTATCAATAGATCTCCAAGATCTATCAATAGATCTCCGAGATCTATCAATAGAGCTCCAAGATCTATCAATAGATCTCCAAGATCTATCAATAGATCTCCGAGATCTATCAATAGATCTCCAAGATCTATCAATAGATCTCCAAGATCTATCAATAGATCTCCGAGATCTATCAATAGATCTCCGAGATCTATCAATAGATCTCCAAGATCTATCAATAGATCTCCGAGATCTATCAATAGATCTCCAAGATCTATCAATAGATCTCCGAGATCTATCAATAGATCTCCAAGATCTATCAATAGATCTCCAAGATCTATCAATAGATCTCCAAGATCTATCAATAGATCTCCAAGATCTATCAATAGATCTCCAAGATCTATCAATAGATCTCCGAGATGATAAAAGGGCAATTTTATTTACATCAAAATCAATAATTCTCAAATAAACGGTAAATTTTTTACAGCAAAATTGTAAATAGGAATAAAATAAATAATAAAAAAAAATTTCAATAAGATTTATATTTCTCGATAGTTAACAGTGTTAAAAATTGACAAAATTAGATTATAAAGCAGCAACACACATGCACAATTTTGTGTGTGTATATATATATATATATATATATATATATATATATATATATATATATATATATATATATATATATATATATATATATATATATATATGACGGCTGAACTTGAGTAAACCATGTCATTAACGCAGGAAGACCGATAGTTTGATCATTAGGCTGTGCCGAACACACACTAATGAATGACTCGGCTAGTACCACGTGGTATTGTTGATAAACATACAGTGTTGACAAACTTACATTGTTGACAACCTTACAGTGTTGACAAACTTACATTGTTGACAAGGACACATTGCTTCTGTTGTTTACATTCGGTGACCAGTGTACAAGTTGATGGGTGTTTGACGTGATTGGTATATCAGTTAACGTGAATCTGGCGTCACTGCTGTATCAGTTAACGTGAATATGGCGTCACTACTGTATCAGTTAACGTGAATATGGCGTCACTACTGCATCAGTTAACGTGAATATGGCGTCACTACTGTATCAGTTAACGTGAATATGGCGTCACTACTGCATCAGTTAACGTGAATATGGCGTCACTACTGTATCAGTTAACGTGAATATGGCGTCACTACTGCATCAGTTAACGTGAATATGGCGTCACTACTGTATCAGTTAACGTGAATATGGCGTCACTACTGTATCAGTTAACGTGAATATGGCGTCACTACTGTATCAGTTAACGTGAATATGGCGTCACTACTGTATCAGTTAACGTGAATATGGCGTCACTACTGTATCAGTTAACGTGAATATGGCGTCACTACTGCATCAGTTAACGTGAATATGGCGTCACTACTGTATCAGTTAACGTGAATATGGCGTCACTACTGCATCAGTTAACGTGAATATGACGTCACTACTGTATCAGTTAACGTGAATCTGACGTCACTACTGTATCAGTTAACGTTAATATGACGTCACTACTGCATCAGGTAACGTTGAAAGATATACAGGTTTCGGAAATGGTGGCTCGGTTAATCCTGGCTCTGGTGCATATACAGCAAGACCGTGTGTGTCTGTGTGATGGGACCACGACCGTTTGGTCCAATGGTGGGGCAGTTTCTGCCCCCCAAGGAACTTTGAATATATTAAGCACTTCATAGAAGGTGAAGGGACGACGACGTTTCGGTCCGTCCTGGACCATTCTCAAAGTCGGGAGTCGACTTGAGAATGGTCCAGGACGGACCGAAACGTCGTCGTCGTCCCTTCACCTTCTAGTGTGTGGTCTGGTCAACATACTTCAGCCACGTTATTGTGACTCATCGCCTGCACTTCAGGGATGAGTCTTGACCAGTATTGCAGCCTCTTCACAGCCACGTTATTGTGACTCATCGCCTGCACTTCAGGGATGAGTCTTGACCAGTATTGCAGCCTCTTCACAGCCACGTTATTGTGACTCATCGCCTGCACTTCAGGAATGAGTCTTGACCAGTATTGCAGCCTCTTCACAGCCACGTTATTGTGACTCATCGCCTGCGCTTCAGGAATGAGTCTTGACCAGTATTGCAGCCTCTTCACAGCCACGTTATTGTGACTCATCGCCTGCGCTTCAGGAATGAGTCTTGACCAGTATTGCAGCCTCTTCACAGCCACGTTATTGTGACTCATCGCCTGCGCTTCAGGAATGAGTCTTGACCAGTATTGCAGCCTCTTCACAGCCACGTTATTGTGACTCATCGCCTGCGCTTCAGGAATGAGTCTTGACCAGTATTGCAGCCTCTTCACAGCCACGTTATTGTGACTCATCGCCTGCGCTTCAGGAATGAGTCTTGACCAGTATTGCAGCCTCTTCACAGCCACGTTATTGTGACTCATCGCCTGCGCTTCAGGAATGAGTCTTGACCAGTATTGCAGCCTCTTCACAGCCACGTTATTGTGACTCATCGCCTGCGCTTCAGGGATGAGTCTTGACCAGTATTGCAGCCTCTTCACAGCCACGTTATTAGGTGTTCCAGGTTGGGATGCTGTGTAGTTTTAATACGAGCCGGATTATTGGCGACATTTTTGTGCGGTGGGGGAGTGATTGCCGCCATAACTGATTGGGGGGGGGGGGGGGCAAGTAACTCAATCCACACACACACACACACACACACACACACACACACACACACACACACACACACACATACACACACACACACACACATACACACACACACACACACACACACACACACACACACACACACACACACGTCCCTGTGGCTCATGTGGGTACTCAGTTTCCACCTGTGTGTGTGTGTACTCACCAACTAGGTTAGTACACACACACACACACACACACACACACACACACACACACACACACACACACACACACACACACACACACACACACACACACACACACACACACACACACACACACACACACACACACACACACACACACACACACACACACACACACACACACACACACACGTCCCTGTGGCTCATGTGGGTACTCAGTTTCCACCTGTGTGTGTGTGTACTCACCAACTAGGTTAGTACACACACACACACAGGTGGAAACTGAGTACCCACATGAGCCACAGAGACGTTAGAAGTTACTTTTTCAGTGTCAGAGTAGTTAACGGATGGAATGCATTAGGCAGTGATGTGGTGGAGGCTGACTCCATACACAGTTTCAAATGTAGATATGATAGAGCCCAGTAGGCTCAGGAACCTGTACACCAGTTGATTGACAGTTGAGAGGCGGGACCAAAGAGCCAGACCTCAACCCCCGCAAGCACAAATAGGTGAGTACAAATAGGTGAGTACACACACATACACATCCAGTTTCCTTATGTGTTTCTTCAGGTGGGGCCTCCATGATGAGGCGGCACACTCTAAGACTGGCCTCACGTAGGCAGTGTAAAGCGCCCTAAATGCCTCTTTACTAATCCTTACTAATAATATATTGCAAGTGATCTCATCCAATTTAATGATATCTAGATGATATCAACACTCAAGATATAATTGCTAAGCCACGAGTAAATGAATATGTCATGTCAAAGATAATTAAATCTCATTCAAACACGATCAATCAAATCAGTAGATATTTTAATAGCGGCTCCTCCCCTTTTGCCAAGATAATCACATCAAACTCCCCACATCATTCTCAACCACTTGAGTTGGACGGTAGAGCGACGGTCTCGCTTCATGCAGGTCAACGTTCAATCCCCGATCGTCCATAAGTTATTAGGCACCATTCCTTTCCCCACGTCCCGTCCCAAATCCTTATCCTGATCCCTTCTCAGGGCTATATAGTCGTAATGGCTTGGTGCTTTCCCTCCTGATAATTCCCTCCCTCCCCACATCATTACAGAAGGGCAGGTAACTGATTTCGGGTTTCCTTGCCTAACTCTGGTTAAACGTATTTGTTGTAGAAAGTATTTTTGCTGTCCTAACCGGCTTGTTTAAAGTGACACGAATGAGAGTTCATGACGTCTCGTTTGTCATGACTACTACAAAGAATCGTTAGGTTTATAATTGTCTTAGTCTTAGTGCTTAGTCTAAGTCTGCCTTAGCCATGCCATAAAAGGCTATCTATGAAGGACTGAACAAATCCACAAAGGGCCGTGACGAGGATTCGAACCTACGTCCGAGAGCATCCCAGACTGGTGCCAAGAAATCTTGTCCCTCTCCTAGTTTGGCGTCAAATGTGGTCAAACTGTAGGATATTTCAGGCAGGATTGATCGTTAAAAGCGGAAGATTGAGCCCAGCAGTCTTGACGAACATTTGAACACTTGCCCCAACGCAAGGTTTGCTGTTGTCTAAGATTCAGCTACTGGGAACAAAAAAGTTCCAGGTAGCACGGGCTATGGTGAGCCCGTAGTGGACTTACCTGGTACAGGAACGGGGCTGTAACTGTGCACGCAACACTGGGCCAAAATACTCAGCCAGGCTTTGTGTTCCAGTTTTGTTCTTACTGATTAAAAATTTCACACACAGTTTCACTGTGTCGCATAATGTCTGCTTCCTCGAACCCCCCCCCTCTCTCTCTCTCTCTCTCTCTCTCTCTCTCTCTCTCTCTCTCTCTCTCTCTCTCTCTCTCTCTCTCTCTCTCTCTCTCTCTCTCTCTCTCTCTCTCTCTCTCTCTCTCTCTCTCCTTTCATGCAGTAATCCCTGGAACCCTTCCCTTCCTCTGCCAACTCTTGCTCCCTTTCCATTTTCCCATAATTCCCCTCCCTCCACTCCTCCCTGTCGCCCCTCTTCCTCCATCTCTCCCCTCGTCAACTCGACCAGTGAATGTGCAGTAAGTTGCTCCGAGTTCATAATAGAGTGGACTTCCCCCTGTGCGAGTCTCCGTGATACAGGCGGTCGGAAGGGTTGCAAAATTACGTCCAAATTGCAGCCAGAAGTATAGTCATTTTGGGGGAGAATGAAGTGAAGTGTTTTAACTTTTTCACTTTGATTGTGTGTGTGTGTGTGTGTGTGTGTGTGTGTGTGTGTGTGTG